ATATGATCTTCTCGATCTATAAAGAAAAGGAAAATATTTAAATTAAGTGAATGTCTCTATTTAAAAACAAACAAAAAATTCATGATGTGATATTATAGTATATAGTATATCAGAAATCTGTTCACTATTTTTATTACAAATTATATCAGTAAGGAAGCTGACTAAATATTCACTGATAATTTATGGGACAGGGGTGGGATTAAATAAGTGTATACTTCTTCCCACTCCCTTTCAACATGTAAATTAATCAGAATGTTTTTTTGTATGTAATTTGTATAGTATATTTTTTTTCTCTCATTTCTTTTCTAAATGTACTTGTATATTGTTCACATGTTGAAATAAATTACCAATCAATCAATCAATCAATCAAAGTAGTTAATCATTGTTTGTAGAATACATGACTGCCCTGCTAATTATTGTTAGTGACTGATACCATATAATGCATCTGTCAGGAGCTGATAGCCACACATTCTCTAAAGAATTTCTGGTAAAGAGCAGGCTGAAGCAGCAAAGCAACCAAAGACCATGACATCATCACCACTGTTTTACTGCTGGTATGATGTTCTTGTTTTGAAATGCTGTGGTAGTTAATTACTTCCCTCACAGGGCCTAGTCGCTTTGGACAACTCTTTTCCCTTAATAAATCAAATCATCATTAAAAGAAATATGCACTTACTGATATGTTTACTCAGCCTCTGACTAGTTTTAAAGTTCGTTTGACAATCTGTAATATTTAAATGTGACAAATATGCAAAACAAACAAACAAAAAGGTCAGGGGGCAAACACTAACTATTTACATGTAAGAATGATAATACAATGAATACAGTATAGAGTTGTAGTGCAATTTATCAGAACTCAAACTTAATGATGGAGAATTAAAAGAATAAAATCTACTCATTAAGAAAATTTTGTTCTAGTAACCTGAGAGTCAACGAGGCAAAATTAATAGATTAATAAATTAAAAATAAATAACAAATAAATAACAAATAAATAAATAATAACATGAATAAATACATTTCTGAGTTAAGTTTAAACTACATTCTTAATAAACCATACAGTGACATAGATGCACTTCACATATAGGCTACAATAATCTGTGGACATTATTATATTCTTTTTTTTTTTTTTTTAATGTTAACAATATATTTATTGAGTTCTTTTATATTACAAAACAAGCAAATGATAGTACAGTTAAAATAAGATTTAGAAAAAAACTTAGCACCAAGCATCGTTTTCTAAATTAATGCCCTTCATAATGTCTCGAAATCTCAGTTAAATGTGACCACATTTCTTCAAAATCTACTCCCTTTCCTCTGACAACACAAGCAGGGCTGGACTGGGACAAAAAATCGGCCTGGGCATTTTGACTAGAGACCGGCCCATCAGGCATTATAGGAAAAGCCATAAAGCCTTTGCATGAAAACAACTGCTTTGATGTACACTGCCTTGTTGGTATATATGTATCAATCTAATAAACTTAAACCTACACCATCCTCCGTATTCTGGATTTTAAACAGTACATAGCGGAAACAAAAAGACTGCTTGGGCGAGTTAACCTCCTGAACTATCTACAACACATGGTAGAAACCTGAAATTAAGACCAAGAACACTAGAGGTGAGACATGATCATTAATTAATATTAAAATTAATAAATGACAGATTTAGTGATATTTTCATAAACTATTTATTTACCAAAACAATACAAAACAGCATGGTAGCACAATATATTTTTTTTAACACAACAAGGAGACAGAGAAAGAAAGGTGAGAAAGAAGAATAAGAATAACACTTAATTGAGTTTTTGATGGCATTTTACACACAGTACTAATACAGTATCTAGAAAATATGGGAAAATACTGGCATCATATACAGTACTTACTTCTGAAGAAATTATATGGGAACCTGAAAAACAGGACACAAGTGAAAGAACAAAGAACAGTGAATGGCAATTGATGGACTTGCTCAGATGATCACAGTACTGGTCGTTGTGTCCTTGGGCAAGACACTTTACCCTACCGCCTACTGGTGTTGGCCAGAGGGGCTGATGGCGCGATATGGCAGCCTCGCTTCTGTCAGTCTGCCCCAGGGCAGCTGTGGCTACAACCGTAGCTGCCTCCACCAGTGTATGAATGTGAGAGTGAATGAATAATGGAATTGTAAAGCGCTTTGTGTGCCTTGAAAAGTGCTATATAAATCCACTCCATTGTTATTATTATTATTATCATTATTATTATTATTAACTGTAGCCCTGCTGTCAAATTTAAGTAGACGGGTGCTGAGGTTTTGAAATGCATTACTTGGAAGAGAAACTGTTCTGACCTGGCTAAACTTCCTGGGGTCCAACCATGCCAAATCCGCAAGAAGAGGGCCATGTATGACTCTGTGGATTGCTTGAATAACTGTATCCAGGATGATGTTGTGCACTTTCACCTCATATGATTTCTCAGCATTGATTTGCAACTCATCTTCAGGCATCTCTCTGGCCTTTTCTCTTCTTGGCTCTCTTTTCAGGTAGTTCAGCCTCCACTTCCATGTCTGTGTTGTTCTCCCTCTCCTCTAGTTTTTGATTTGTCTGTTTCACAAATGTGTCTGCAGCTGCCTTCACAGTTGGAAAGTCCCTGGCGATACTTTTGAGGCTATCTTGTGTGGCAGTCACCATATGATGGGCAGAGAGAATGTCTATCCCCTTTGACTGGAGGTACTTCGACAGAGAAGTTGTTGCTCAAACACTCTAAGAAATATCTGTGCTTTTAACACAGTTTCATGCTTCAAGAGACACTCTTTAAAGCCTCGTGCTTTGGAACGAACAGCTGGCTTTTCTTTTTCCCTCTTTTCAATGGCTTCCAGCGTCAGCACTACATCAACCAGCCGTCATCTGGTTTTCCAAAATGTCCAAAGAGTTTTTGGAGGGCATCATGCTTGGCCCACCACCGTGTCTCACCTATTGGACTGAGGCGTCTGTGTCTTGTCTCTTGGGTTTGCTTCTCCCACAGATTAACCCTGTGATAGGACTCCTTGATGAACACAGCTATGTCATTAAGTAAATTAAAGAGTGATCCACTTTCAATGACACTTTGTGTTGTGTCAGCAAGCACAAGATTAAGTATGTGTGCATAGCACCACACATGCACATGAGTTGGAGACTGGGCAGTCATAAGTGCTGAAAAGCCTTTGTACTGGCCCTGCATAGTTGAAGCACCATCTGTTGCATTCCCAATGCACATGGCCTTGTCTAGATTCAGATGCTCTAAAACTCCGGAAAGCAAGTTTACAAAGTACTGCCCCGTGGATGCTTCGCACCTCACTATGGAGACAAGCCTCTCCTGCACAGCCTCAGTAACATACCTGATGATTACTGAACACTGATCATAACCTGTGATGTCTTGGGTTGTGTCTAGCTGAACAGAAAACACCCCAGCTTTCTGGACATCACTGGCGATGCTCTCTTGAATGAGATGGCCAAGTGCATCAATCACTGAGTTGACAGTTGTTTTGGAGAGTAGGGTGATGAGAGATCCTCTACCTCTTGATCCACTGGTCTGATGCAACTTCTTGCTTTTTTCAATGCAGTCATTCAAATGTTCTCCAAGGCACATATCATACTTGCCTAATAACACAATCAGTTCCAGAAAGTTACCATGATCGATGGTGTTATCACCCAAAGTGTATGCAGCCTCATTCTCCACATGCCTATAGCTGAGTCCCCTCTTCCCAAGTACTTTGATCACATCCACTATACGTTTTAAAACTTGCCGTCTTTTTTTCACTTGTGCTCTGTGAGCTGACTGCCAGCAAACAAGCTCCTGATGTTGCCTTTTGAGTGGTGTCAGTCCGCCTTGCAAATGCCAGACACACAAAGCAGAACAATAAATGGCATTCTTTGCAATAAGTAAGCCACTTCCTGTTGGTGCCATCTTTACAGCTGAACACCCTCATCACAACTGCACTGTTTGACAGGTTAGAGTGAAATGGCAATCATATCAATCATATCCAGTGCAGCATACAGAGAGATGAGACGACAAGGCTCTGGTTACATCAGTGCAAAGCAAGCTAATAAATAGATATAAAAATGAGACAAAAATACATAAATATACGCTTGAGAGTTACAAGAGTTACATATATATTTCACCTGTAATATTCTGAATATTTATAATTGAGCTAGTCGTATACATTTAGAGCTATTTCTTATATTTTGTCAACGTTGTAATATGTTGTATTATTCAATTTAGTTCAGTCTGTTACTGTTATTGCCCTGGAGCCACGGTAACCACATCTTTTCCTGAGATATTACACGGGTGAAACGTTGCCCTGCTTTATTTGGGACTACACAGCATTTTATATCCCAGCCTTTTGGATATTGAGACACAGAAATACACACACAAGAACAAACTCGTTTGATTATCTGTGTATGCATGAATCTATAATAAGTGCCAGACAGAATACGAGCTGTATTAACAGTAAACAGTAATATTACTAAGAAGGCGATCCAAAGTCACACCGCAGTGTGGCGCTGCAGCTAGCGCTGTCACAGCAAGAAACTTTATGGTTCCATGTCTGCTGTGGATATCTGTGGGGCATTTGCGTGTTCTCCGTCTGCCTGCGTGTATTTGCTCTAAATATTCGCCCTTTTCCCACAGTCCAAAGTCCTGCGAATTTGAGCTGATGGCTCTTCACTAAGCTAGACAAAGTGCTTACAGTTTATACCAAAGGCCTGCCTCCAGATGTTTTGAGTGTGCAAAACTAGTGCGGCGTATACAACCTCATCATCCTCCTAAAATACACTGGAATACTCACGGGAATACATCGCAGTAATATAACGTGTTTATGTCTTTTCTTTATCTTGGAGTGTCGTTTTTATTTGGAATGAGGCATTCACTGAGCAGTATGAGACTAAGTTGTGGTTGTGCAGGATTCCCAGCAGCATTCCTGTAGGCTCCGCCAACAGCTGTCCAAGTGAGACTGTCCGGCAGAGCGCAGGCTAGAGGAGGGGAATGGGACCGAGAGCTAAAGCAGTGAGTTCATCAGGACAAACACACAACGGATACCGTTCCACAACAGGTATTCGAAGAATTTGAAGAGACAGCCAGACTTTTAGGGAATTCATTCAGCTTGAATTTTTAGGAAAACGGTATTCTGTGATGTCTTTCCAAGACCTTCGAGACTCTTTTGAAACGTTCTCGCAATACATGAAAACGGGGCGCAGTCGGAATAAAGAGCGATTGCAAGCCAGCCTGGCCGGGTTATGCGAGCTTGGGCTTCTCAAACAGAGACAGGAAAGCAGGGTGCTGCGCGCTCTTGGGATCAAGGACCCTTCGTCAACCGGGGGCCCGGATTGGGGAGCTCTATGCTCGGAACTTTGTGCTATGGACGCACCAAAAGGGAAGGAAAGCTGTGGTCTCAATCTCCACCATGTAAGTTCTATTTGTCCTAGCTTATTAGCCAAATTAATATTAAAGTTAGTATAGCCGATGTGATAGCCAGCTACTTTAAATTTCAGTTGATCCGTTTTCCAAAAGTTCGCATACGAAGACAGCTGATCCCATACATAAGGGTGTGTGTGTGTGTGTGTGTGTGTGTGTGTGTGTGTGTGTGTGTGTGTGTGTGAGTGGGGGGGGAAGGGGTAGCGGTGTGTAGTGCTAATACCCGTGCCTCGTTTCTTAGCATTTACTTGCGCTGACTTGTAGGGATTGATTGGCTTTGAAATAGCTTCTTGCTTTTACATTACGATGGTAACTATAACGACCTAGAACGCGAAAAATGTCGGTGGCTGCTCTTTGTGCGGGGTTAGTGCATGAAAACGTGGAGAGCCAGGCATACATTACCATTTTTGGTCAGTTTGGGGAGCTTCATTACATTATCCATTTTATGCTGAACACAGTGGCTTATCCAGAGATCTGTCTGTTGAGTTTGAATCATTTCTCACATGAAGACTGAGGTCATTATTTTGGCATTACACCAAACCATCTTTGACTCTTTAAAATGAATTCCACGAATCAACAGCAGATAAGAAGTTGCTCTGTGGCCTCAGGATGCAGTTCGGATTCTCATTCAAATATCAACTTATATATTTATATCATTGTAAATTATACATTATGCTATATATTGCAGCACAATGTAGCATGGGATAATCATTTACAGTTTTGGAATTTAATACACTATTATTATCTCCAAGGATGCTGCACTTTGTCTTGGTTTTCACTTCCAGAAATAAAGATGCAATTAAAAAAATGTAACAATGTCAACAACAGTTTGTAGTTTGAAGTATAAGACACTGTTTTTCACATTATAAAGAGCCATATTCATTCTGTGCAAATTTGAAACTTTTACTGAAACGAGGTAACATCTGAAAGACAAGTAGCTGCCATTTCTATCGATAAATCTAGTGTGCGCTTAAAACATGAGTGAGACAAATGTCCTCCTGTAAAAGGATGCAGCAGATGAGCTGCTGACTGTGACAGTGAACAGTGTAAGACGTGCTACATGGTGAATGGTGGAGTTTGTCCGACTCGGGATAAATAGTTTAAATGTTACAACTATGCCATATAATTCTTTTTATATGACTTTGCACAACACTAGGAACACTGGGAATACAGGGCTTGATTGTAAAGAAACAAATAGTTCCATCTTGTGACTTTCTCTCTATCTACAGAATTTAGAAAATGTCCAAACTACTCTTAAGGTTGCACACAACACTCTTCCCTAACCCCAAGAGAAGATATTGTGACTTGAACATTTGCCTCTTTGTTTTTCTTTCTGTTTTTTATGTAGCTCATCGGTTAATTCCTAAATCATGACACTTAATGCAGTGGCACTATGGCTTCATATTGGTTTCATATATAATTTGGACTGGTTGGGACTTATAGAGGTTAATGCTGAAATTAGTCATTCACCCCTTGCTCCCTTGTATTTGTTTATGTGTGTGGCAGTACTGGAAAAAAGGGACAAAAAGGCCTTATGTCTGCAATGTGGGAACAAAGACAACTAGACTAAGAAAAATATGATGCGTATGCATGAAGAGAGGGCATCTGTGTTTATTAGTGAGGAGTTGCTGACAGCCATGTGACAGCTGACAGCAGGTGGGGAAACAGAGCAACCTTCACAGTGGCCTCCAGCGTGTAAAGAGATTAATGAGAGGGCATGAGGCAATGTGAATGCATAATGTGTAGTGTGTCTGTGTGAATGCACTCTGGATTATCTAACAACTATGTTAATCATAACAGAGTCATGTCTAGGAACGAGAAGAAGTGCATTAAATTTCCAAGGATAACAACCTCAGAAAGTGACTTACATTCAAAAAGTGTGGCCTTTGTGGGAATGTCTACATATAAGTGTTTATAGTTAGTATGTTAAAATGACAGCACAAATGTACAATCTCCAGTCCATGCTTTTTTCATCTGTGTATCGTCAAGCCAAATGTAAACATTCTCAATTTTAATATATGTGTTTTGTCTACATTTCACACCAAATACAGGGAGTGCAGAATTATTAGGCAAGTTGTATTTTTGAGGAATAATGTTATTATTGAACAACAACCATGTTGTCAATGAACCCAAAAGACTCATTAATATCAAAGCTGAATGTTTTTGGAAGTAGTTTTTAGTTTGTTTTTAGTTTTAGCTATTTTAGGGGGATATCTGTGTGTGCAGGTGACTATTACTGTGCATAATTATTAGGCAACTTAACAAAAAACAAATATATACCCATTTCAATTATTTATTTTTACCAGTGAAACCAATATAACATCTCCACATTCACAAATATACATTTCTGACATTCAAAAACAAAACAAAAACAAATCAGCGACCAATATAGCCACCTTTCTTTGCAAGGACACTCAAAAGCCTGCCATCCATGGATTCTGTCAGTGTTTTGATCTGTTCACCATCAACATTGCGTGCAGCAGCAACCACAGCCTCCCAGACACTGTTCAGAGAGGTGTACTGTTTTCCCTCCTTGTAAATCTCACATTTGATGATGGACCACAGGTTCTCAATGGGGTTGAGATCAGGTGAACAAGGTGGCCATGTCATTAGTTTTTCTTCTTTTATACCCTTTCTTGCAGCCACGCTGTGGAGTACTTGGACGCGTGTGATGGAGCATTGTCCTGCATGAAAATCATGTTTTCTTGAAGGATGCAGACTTCTTCCTGTACCACTGCTTGAAGAAGGTGTCTTCCAGAAACTGGCAGTAGGACTGGGAGTTGAGCTTGACTCCATCCGCAACCTGAAAAGGCCCCACAAGCTCATCTTTGATGATACCAGCCCAAACCAGTACTCCACCTCCACCTTGCTGGCGTCTGAGTGGGACTGGAGCTCTCTGCCCTTTACCAATCCAGCCACGGGCCCATCCATCTGGCCCATCAAGACTCACTCTCATTTCATCAGTCCATAAAACCTTAGAAAAACCAGTCTTGAGATATTTCTTGGCCCAGTCTTGACGTTTCAGCTTGTGTGTCTTGTTCAGTGGTGGTCGTCTTTCAGCCTTTCTTACCTTGGCCATGTCTCTGAGTATTGCACACCTTGTGCTTTTGGGCACTCCAGTGATGTTGCAGCTCTGAAATATGGCCAAACTGGTGGCAAGTGGCATCTTGGCAGCTGCACGCTTGACTTTTCTCAGTTCATGGGCAGTTATTTTGCGCCTTGGTTTTTCCACACGCTTCTTGCGACCCTGTTGACTATTTTGAATGAAACGCTTGATTGTTCGATGATCACGCTTCAGACGCTTTGCAATTTTGAGACTGCTGCATCCCTCTGCAAGATATCTCACTATTTTTGACTTTTCTGAGCCTGTCAAGTCCTTCTTTTGACCCATTTTGCCAAAGGAAAGGAAGTTGCCTAATAATTATGCACACCTGATATAGGGTGTTGATGTCATTAGACCACACCCCTTCTCATTACAGAGATGCACATCACCTAATATGCTTAATTGGTAGTAGGCTTTCGAGCCTATACAGCTTGGAGTAAGACAACATGCATGAAGAGGATGATGTGGACAAAATACTCATTTGCCTAATAATTCTGCACTCCCTGTAGGGTTGCTCAAACACAGCAGCAAGTCTCTGCTGGTGTGGTTGGAATGGAGGGGTGGCTGACTAATCACTTATGTGAAGTTTCAAAATCAAAAAGTAATAGCTGTGCAGTTTCTGCAGTGTAATCACCCTACAAGCTAGCTGCTTGAAACACAAGTCCTGTAAGTCACAATTCCCACCAGCATAGAGCGATATCTATTTATTATCCAGGGTCAACATACAATTTACACTGTAGGCAACGTTCCCTCTAATTTTTCACGTGTCTGAGCGAACACACAAACTCCCTGAGCGTCCCTTGGACCACTGTGAGCAACAGCAGACGTGTGCACTGTGGTCACGCCAGCATCCAATCCATCCAAGTTACATGTTTATTAAAATAATCAAATTACTGCATTTACATTTATGTTAGACGACTTTAAATTAACAGCTTTAGCCCACTTACAATGAAAATTTAAAATAAATCTTGTTCATGACCTGTGCAGCATGTTAACACTATTGGAAGAAAAAATAACTTGAACTCCAATTTTGAAAACACAACTTTCTTTTTTTTTTCTTTTTTTTTATAAAGCTCTGACTTGTATTATGAGTCTGTGGTCTGGGAGAGAGTCTGTAACTCTGTCTGCAAAATACAGTAAATAATGACCAATGTTGGGCAATTAATTATATAGTTACTTCTTCAAAAAAGTAACTGAGTTTTGTGGATGCGTCTGGCTTTCATAACTGGATGCAGGATAATACTTAGGCACTGGAAGTCATCCAGCCCCTGTTCTCTCAGGGAATGGACTGAACAAATGTCTAAGATGGCATCATATGAACGGGTTATGTACAGAATGAAGGGGAGAGAAGATATTTTTGAGCAGGTCTGGGGTCCTTTTTTGTTGTACATCGACAATGTCTCCTAGATATTATGATAAATGTTCTTTGGGGGGGGGGGGGGGGGGTTTCATGTGTCATTGGTATTTTTGTTGTTGTCTTTTTCTTTTCTTTTTTTTTATTACTTTGAAAGTCAGTAGAGGGAAGAAATTGTCTTAATGTCATCAGTGGTCAAGGTTATGTTTTGCCTTTTAGGCACCCGGGTGTTTTGCCCCCATTGCTTTTGTTTTTGCTGATGTTTCCCAGGAAGCGGTATATCATTTTGTTTCTCCTGGTTTTTTTTTGTTGTTGTTGTTGTTGTTGTTGTTGTTGTTGTTGTTGTTGTTGTCTGTTTGTCTTAGTTACTGTTAGTCCTTATTTGTTGGTTGTTGTTAAGAAACGGACAGAGAACTGACAGTATGATTATTCCAGTTGTATATTCGTTAATGTTTCTGTCCATCCAAAACATGAATAAAAAAACAAAACAAAAAATCAAAAACTGAGTTTTGCAAACAAAGTTTTTTGCAGCTG